CTTGTAAACTCTTAGAATATAATTGAGTTAAAATTGTCCCGTACAAGTTAGTTGAGTCAAAATTACTTATCGCTGTCTTCCCTGCTGCATAAGGGATTTACATTTTCTATGATCAGTGTAGAGTATTATCATGCTTCATATTGAGCCATTACGAATAAAAGCCCTAATGTTTCAATGTCTGGACTAAGTATATAAAGTGATAAACTAAGAACTAAAATCTATCAAGCGTATTATCATTCTACTAACAAGAACTGGACTTCACTAATGATAATTATAATGCCATAGCTTTCAACTCGTTCCAAGTGAGAACTTACAAAAAGTAGTTCAACTCAATGAGAGCTCCTGTACTAATCCTTGTCACCAATCCATAAGCCCTGACGTTACAAAGAGGAAAAGTAAAAGGCAAATAAGTAGGTGGGGTTGCAAACGAATCGAAAGCAACTCGAGTCCGAGATCGAATTGAGGTCGATCAATAGTAAATTCTAACTGACTAAGTCGAACTCAAACTCGAAAATATTCAACTTGATAGCTCGTGAGCCAACTCGATTATATAAATATATATATTATTTTTTATTTTAATAATAAAATTATATATATATTCTTAATATTTTATTATTTGTTAAGAAAAATTATTATTTTATTTATTTTTAAAAAATAAATAATTATTTTTTTTAAGCTCGAGCTTCAGTTAAAGCTCGACTCGAACTTTACATTTTGAGTTCGTTGAACTCAAATTCGAGTTTGAATTTCATAAAATTAAGTTGAGATTCGATTCAATTAGATAAAAACTTGACTTGACTCGTCTCGTTTGCACTCAGAAAGAAGGACCTTTGTAGTGATTCCTATCAATTTCTTTGATTTACGGTTTCAGTTCTGCCTGGGAAAGGGTGAAGAGGCACCGCTAGCATGGCTGTAGACCTAGTAGCTACAATAAAGGCATCGAGTTGCCCCGCCAAAATTCTGGCCAACCTCCATCGCCAATTAACCAAAAGATATTTTTATCATAGCTAATATTTTGAGAATAGGCAATAAGGGATAACCTAAGATTAGTAAGTAGATTTTTTACTAAAGGAGGAGAAGGCATTTGGAGAGGTAGGCATGCAGTTGAGCAACTTTAAGAAAATGCTCAAGATGAGGAAGACGAAGAGAGGCGAAATTTTCAGCCTTTTTGGTGATTTTCGGTGTATGCAGAGAAAAAAATGCCCATGAATTGCTTTGATCCATGGCCGCCCTTCACGCGGTGTCTTCGTACGTTTCGCACTGGTACTAGACTACTAGGGTGTTTATCGGCCGATAATTTGATTAAAAATTCAACTTTTTTTTCAATTTTTTCAACAATGTCAACATCCAATTACCGTTCAAACTTTTATTTAGTAATTGAATATTGCAAATTGGATTACGACCGAATAATTAGTATTTCAGTAAAATATCCAAAGTTTTAAATTGATTTTCTAATATATATTAGTTAAGTATATTTAATATGTAATTAATAATGTAAAAAGTTATTAATATGTTCATTAATATGCTTTTAAGGTCATATATTTGTCTATAAACATATATTACAACTTATAACACTATTGATTGATTCATCAATATGCAATATGATATATTAATAGGCATGAAATATATAAAATATTTAATTAAAATATGAAATTCGGTAACTCAGCCGGTGGTAATCGAAAATTTGAGAATCGAAATTCAATATCAAATCACAAACTGTTTTGCCAAAATTTAAAATTGGATCTTAATCGGTTTTTCCAAATTTCATTTATCGGTCTAAATTGGATCAATTGATTATTCGAATTTTTTTTTTTTTGGGAAGTGTGAGCACCCCTTAGCTCGCTGGTACCAGGGTAGCCAGCTGAATTGACAATTCGATTCCAGTCTCTTTCTGGTCTATATGGCTGTCTATCGGATAAGATTTCTCGTCTTTATTGTTCCGTGCTTCAACCGGTAAATTTAGACAGCGATGGATACCTGTTTGGGCAGGCAAACACCATGCTCTTCGGTGCCAGTGCATGACTTGCAGGAAAAGTCACTGTCCATTTTCTACGCCGCGGTTACGGGTCATGACTTGAACTCATCGTGCTGTTGGCTACTACATCAAACACGTAACCCGAAAACAAACAAGAGAAAAAGGGAATCCAATGCAGCGTTTCTTTCTTTTATAGCTAGTTTGGGAGTTCAGATTTCAAAGGAATAGAAAAGAAAGGAAGGGAAAGGTAGACTTTTCTATGTTTGGGACATTTAAGTAGGACCGAAAAGAAAAGAAACGAACGGATCTTGAAGGGAAGCCAAAAGCTGCTACAGTGCAAAATTTTTTCTGACCAAAACGGGCGGAAAGCGAAGGAAAACTGATAGAAGCTTACAAAATTTTTTCTTATCCTTTCTTTTCTCTCATAACTTATGCTTTCTGTTCTTGTCTTTTCTATCCTCAACTCACAAACTAGCCATTAGTGTTATTACTACACTAATGTTTCTAGCTAATCACTTTTCTTTTCATCAGCCAAAATCAATTTGGTGAGATGCTTCCTCGAAGTTTAATACGTAGTAAAAAAAAGTGAACAATAGTAGAAACCCAATGTTTCACAATCTTTCGGTTTTTCGGTTCGGGGGTTTGGCTGTATGTCACATGTACTGTCGTATTAAAATTATATCGTAGTGATTCATCATTTTGCTCGAGGGGGCAAAATGATATTTCAGAAAAAAAAAAAAAAAACTTGTTTGTTTAAGGGTGTAATTGCAGTTTAATCAAGCATATGCAGCTATGACTAATATGAGTTTCAATTTTTCCCCCAAAAAACTAATTCAGTCCCTCATGTGTAGATCATTGTATTGTCATAAAAAAAAATAGTTTATTTCCTTATCTTATAAATCATAACCTATCAAGTTTTGCATATTGCTGGCCAAAATAAATAAATAAATAAATAAAAATAAGAAGTTGGAAATTAATTTTTTTTATTATTTATTGATGTTTAATTTATGAAACATTCTCTCATATCCAACTATAAACAAAACAGGAGGAGGAGTTGCGGTGTTAAAATTTTGTGCCATCTTTTATATTACCTTTTTTGTTCTTACACTAGGGTAAAATGGCCTAACCATATTCAAAAATTACTTTTTCTAGTTTTATGTGGAATTTTTTAGCTTTGTTGCTAATCATTATAATTAAAGGTAACTAATGAAAAATAACTACTCGTATATGTTGTATTTTCACAAAAGATTATAAAAACATAATTTTTTTCAACATGCAAAACTAATTTCTACAACTAAAAATTATAACTAGGTTAGGACTGATTTTTTTTTTTTTTTGATCGTAATGTAGGTATCAATATCAAACTAAATAATCCAAATAAAAATGAATCAATGTTTCCATTTCCACCATGATTTCAAATTTGAAGATGTCGTCGTCGTCGTCGTGTTAATATCAAATTTGAAGACTTCCTACAAACACAGAACGGTGAAGCGATGCATTTTAACTCGCATAAATGAAACCACCCATCTGAGCATCACTTTATATTCAATAAAGCAATAACACCAAAGAAATCCAATGGAGCATCATCTTCTTTGTACTGATTGGAGACAAATTCTTTTCATCTGCTTAACTTTTGAAAACTTTTATCCCGAAATGAACTAGATAACAAAACCTTGTTTGCTTTATGTAGTTTCTTTCTTTCTACTGTCAACTGGTTCAACTCTCTCAAAAGTTTGAGTTCTAATAATTCTCTTCCATTCTTCATATTTACATCCCATTTTCCGATGTTTCATTAAGATTCATATTATGAGAATCTTATTGCCATTTTTTTAAATTTACAACTGATGATAAAGATAGTAGCGTTTGAATGCAATATATATTCTATGTCGAGCGATTTAGATTGTTTATCTTATTTACTAATCTAATTTTACGTCAACAGATTTAAACGCTTTACAAGAATTCTATACTAGTTTACGCTGGTGGTTGATTTAACTCTTATGAACTACTCATTAATGATTTTTAAGTTTTTTTGAACCATTGATTATAGTAGCTGGATAAATTCTTATAGTCATGTAATTTTGATATATGTTGCATCTCCTGGATTAGTTTTCTACCTCCTTCACCATTGCAAGGAGTAATGATTTGGCAATTTGTATATTTCAGACTAGACAGACTTGACTTTAATTTCCATATATCTTTTTCTTGTTATAAATATTGAACTTTAATTTTTTCTGAAATTGCAAAGAGAAAACTACATTTCTCTATTTTTTTTTATATTGCCACAAAATCTGTAGATTATTATTGAACAATATCAAAGAAATAAAATAAACTAACTTAAAGCTAACATATATGTGCCACAAATAATTTTACAGCCAAGATAGTGGTTGATGGTATGTGATAAGAAGCCCTTTCCAGATACACCTTTCAGGAGAGAGGTAATGGGAACGAAGTTAAATAATGGCATTGTATCTACTGATGGAACTGTTAGAATCGAGTCACAATGAGTACCAGTAACTCAGCATATGATTTATTGTTCCTCGAAAATTGTATCCATATTAAAGTTCGAAAAACAATTTAATCAAATCGTATGGAGTACTATTGATCCATTTTTTTGGTCTTTACTTTAACAGCACAACTTAGAGACATTATTGAGTTTCTGCAAATTCTTTTGTCAAAAATGGCCCAAGTACGATTTTTATTTGAAAACTACAATATTGTTGGTCTCTCAGCTTTTCAAATATTCTAGATTTCTGCTCTAGAATATTAATTTAGTCTTTCAATTGTCAACTATTGCACTGAATTTTCACTTATGGAGGAGGTGGCGGGGGAGAGGGGAGGAGAGGGAAGAGGAAGGAGGAGGAGTGAAGAGGAGAGAGAGGTAGGGAGGGAGGAAGAGGGCAAAAAAAAAATAAAAGGACTCCGCCGGTTACCGTGAGCGGCGGGGAGGGATGGAGGAGGAAAAACAATGAGGTGGAGGATAAGAAGAGAAGAAGAAAGAAAAGAAAAAAAAAGAGGAAAATTTTTACACATCTAAAAAAGTTTTTTTTTTTTTTTTTTACAAATTTTACAATAAGATATGATAAAATTTTATATAAACATACAAAAAATTCACTCGCTAAATAGGGCCTACATAACACACAACCTGGCAGTACTAATCACTATTTCAGTACACAAATAATCAAGAATTAAAACACACATGAGGCAAGCCAAGCTCCAAAGCCAATTCACAGCTGGTTCTAGTCAAAGGGATCTTCCTCTAACCTGCTACCACATCCCTCGCAGAAGCCAACACAGAGAAAGTATGTCCACAGCTGAGACGTGTCTATGCTGAAACATAGCCAAATTCCTTGCTCTCCTTAGCTAGTATGCCACAATTTTTTAGAGAGAGAGAGAGAGAGAATTATATTTGGAAGTGACTGAATTCCAAGATTACATGCATCTATCAGAAACTAATATTATTTTGTGGATATGAAATTCAAAAATCTAAAGAAGTAGGTCATCTTTGAATAATAAAAACTAAAGGGCACCCACACTTTACATAAGGTTTTTCAGAATATCTATGTGCAATCGGATTCTTTGTTATTAATTGGAATTCTTCAGCATCGCATTCACTGTCCCTGGCACATCTGACTGGTGATTAGGCAGATTTGGCAGTTTATGGAAGATCCGGATCGTTTTTCACATTGTTACAGGGAAGCGAACAAGGTGGCTGATGTGTTGTCCAATGTGGGCGTATCTCATCCAGACCAACAAATCAAGATATACGAGACATTTAATACGTTTCCAAGACTGGCTCGTGGAGCAATTCGCCTTGATAGGCTAGGAATGCCTTCAATTTGGAAAATTAGGTCTATGTAAAATCTTACTCTTGTATTATTTCTAAATAAAAAAGTTGATTTAAAAAAAAAAAAACACGCTTTGGATGATGCTATTGGACGTTCAAAAAGAATTAAAGATCAAGCGCAAACGTGTTAGTACTCTATTATGAATTCATTTAACATTAATTAGCCAGTAACCTCCTATACAACTTGCAAAACTAAGCATAAATGCATGGGGCCCAAGCACTAATATTTGAGCCAAGATTATTTTCCACTTTGTGTGACGACAAAAGCATGTGGGATGTTCCGTAGTCATGTGATACAGATGAAGGTAGCATCTTCCAAGTTCCAAGGTGCCCTTCCTGTGGCCGATACAAATACAGCGTTCATGAACTAATCCCCAAAGGACCTCTTCGTGTTGTCTGTATCACCTGTTTACCTCCATTCATAGTTGCCATTGTGCTCGTTCTATGCATCCTTTTGTTTGGTTTAAGATTCCTTAACTCGAGGTGGGAATTGGGATCTTTTTGTTTGGTAGGAAAATATTTTCCAGAAAATGTTTTCCTGATTTTTCATTGTTTGATTGGGTTATTGCTTGCGAAAATTTTTCATATAAATGAATTGAAGTTATTTTTCATGTCCGACTCGTAAGGCTATCCATTCTAGCTCCCTTCTTTGCTGTTTTCTCTCTCCATTTTTCTCTGTCCCTGCCTTTCTTTCTCTCAGATACATAGACCATACGCACTTATGGGGAGATCTAGACTTGAAATTGAAAGGGGCTATAGGGAGATCGTGAAGGATGCCAGAGAAAGTTTTGATGTATGAAAATGAAATGAAGTTGTTAATCTCGTGCTAATATACTGTAAATTTGAGGTATGTTTGTTCAACGGACATTAACTGTTACCGTTCAGATTGCTATTTTCTGAAGTTTTTGTAAAAAAATGTACCGTAACAATTTGACATATATAAAATAAAAAGATGATTAAAAAATATAATCACGAAAAATGTAAAATTTTTTTGAGGGAAAATGGTTTTCCAAACAATTGCTGAAACTTTTTTGAGGTGTTGATTATGGCGGAAGAACGGTGGTTTTTAGGTAAGAGCCTGAAATTTGGTACGGACTTGTGAACTAGAGGATATCTTAACTGCCTGAACAAGAGTAAGTTCTGATAGTGGATCCCTCAAGAATTTGTCATCCATAAGTTAATAATTATTAACCAACGTACATAGTAGTTAACAAAATGTACCTGTTTTCAAAAATTAGTTTTTTAAATACTATTAAAATTTTTAAAAAGTATTCTAAAAAGTAATCTAAATTTATTTTAATATTTAAAAAATATGTCAAAATATATTTTAAAAACTCTTCTACTCTTGAATATTTTAAAAAATTTTCTAAAATATTTCAAAATATATTATAAAAACTCTGATACAATAAAATTTTTTAAAAATATTCTAAAAAACAGCTAATTCAAACGAAAAGAAACCAGACGTTCTTATTCTCAGGTTTTCACTTTTCGGCATGAGAAACCCACAAAACACTACAAAGTGGTAGCAAACAGCACTGAGACGGAGAGTGGATTAATCCGGAGAAGAGAGAGGGGTGTCGATTGTCGAAAATCACCTGGTTCATATTTCGCGCCCTGTCGTTTTGCTGAATCAGCGTGCGATGGAATACTCAGGCGGTCAGGCCCCTCCCTCGACAATAATGGAATTAGCTGCCACGCACGTACGTACCTATGCATGAAAACTGACTTCATAGCTTTATAGCTGTCCCCTCCATGAATATGAATATGAGGAAATGAATCAGAATCTGAACCAGTCACTCAGGACTTTATTATCTCTGCACGAACGCCCATAAACATGCCCTGAAATACTAAATTCTGGCAGCTGCTCTTTGTCGTAGATGCCAAGACTGGTCCTTGGAACATTAATTCCGTGAAACAATACATTCTGCCAGCTGCTGCTCTCCGTCGAAGATGCCAAAAAAATGTCCTTGCCTACTTAAATCAATTTTGAACCAACTCAATTAAATCAAATTCAATGCCTTGCATTTTTCTCTCCATTTTTTCCTCGAATTTTCTGTGGACCTCTTTAGATTCATCTCTCTCCTCCAGTATGGAATAGAATTTATCGTGTCGATAAAAAAAATTTAAATCAATTTTGTTTTAACTCTCTGTCTAATCTTCAAGGATGCTGTGTTACGACTATCGCTGTGCTTCCTCTCTCCTCTCCGCGATGTCTGAAGTCTCAACTCCTCCTTTCGTCACTTTCAGTTTCAACCACAATTCACAAGGCTTCAACAACCTACCACTCTCATCTCCTCCTCCTCCTCATCCATCAAAACGGTGTCCATTTATACTCGTAAACTTTTCAAAAGTGTTATAATTAATTTCCTTGAATTCAATGAATTGTATGATGCAATAGCTGAGAATCTCCATCCAATTGGAAACATTTTCCAGTCTACGTGTATACAATTAATCCATCGTTTGGAATTTTGTGCGTCCATCATACATGGAATTTTGAATTTAACGTCACATGGAATTTTGCTCTATTCTTTTTTCTTGAAGGCAACACTTTTTGATGTCACATAAATGTCAAAGAACGTCTTCATTGGAGAGAGAAATTTGGATTAGCTGGAAAAAGTCAAAAAAGAAAAAGGAGTTTCATACATACATGAGACATCTCCTTTGGGAGAAACTAATAGAGGTCATCCAATTAAGGTGTTTGCCACACTACATGTAACTCACTTTATGTATAAATGCTTTTTGAATGCTCAAATATCTTATTCAACGATGTAAACTTTTGAATGATCAAATTTTAATAAGGAACAAGTACATAAAAAAAGAAATATCAAAGTCTGTACAAACTTTTTTTTTTTTTTTCACAAAGTGTGCACCATTTTTGGTAACCATCCAACACGCATTGCGGACTTTTTTTTTTTTTTTTAAGTATTAATTTTGTCCCTCATGCTTTAGAATTTGTTATTCTCATGGAAAACTCTTGTTTGGATTGTATTTTTCTGGATTTTTTTTATAGAAAAATTACTGTAATGATTTGATATATGTGAAGTAAAAAGATAATTGAAAAATGTGTTTACGGAATATGTTTATATTTCTTTGAAATTGCTCTCCAAACATTGAAAAAAAGAAAAGAAAAATTGTTGTCCAAACAAGGCCTTAGATTTTAACGTTGCTTACTTCTTTAACGTTGACCTATCAACTTTAAGTTATGTGACAAATTTCCAATCCTTTTAGTGATTTTATGCCAAACAATTTTAAATTAATTTAGATTACAAAAGAGAGGATCGTAAATTGAAAAATCAATTTCACAACTAATTGATAAAGAATCAAAATTTCCATGAATTCAGCACAAAATTTCCACAGTAGGTCACGACTTCCATTGATGGATGGACTTAGACCCAACACGTCGATGAAATTTCTACCCAACTTGGAGCATTATATGTGGCCGTCAAGATTTTGAAGGCTATTTATTTTGGCTTTCTTTGCTTCTCCTAATTTTAAATGCATATTTGAAATTCTTGATTTGTTTATTCTTCTTTTAGCCTCAATCTTTTTATAGTTTAAAAACCACCCAAACTTTTTTGCTTATTAAAAATTTATCAAGTCAGAATAAAGGGTTTATCGAGTCTCATTGAAGACATAAAGAAGTACATATATACACAACTATAAATTCATGTTGTATACATTATTACTGTAAAGATTTTTTATACTAGCAGGTGTAACTATATGACATATGAGCAAAAATTGAATTCAAAATTTGAACAGTGATAATATGACATTTATCTAAACCTACTTGTATAAAAAAAATTTATACGCTCCATATAAACAATGTAAAGAGTTTTCATGAAACAAAGTCAAAAATTTTTTTTAATATGTGTACCAGTCTACTTTATTGAAGAACAATCGCAAGCTCATCTACTTAGCAAAGTGTGTGGATCCTATTTTGTAAGTTATCAATTTTTGGTTGGTTTATTCTTGGACATTGATTAATCCAACCATAAGTCTGTGGATCCTATCTTCTAAGTTATCATCAAGTTTGATTGGTTTATTCTTGGACATGGACAAATCCAACCAGCCAGTGACTAAGTGGTAGATGCCAAAAATTCTAATGCAAATCCTTTTTTTTTTTTTTTTTTTTTTATAGCATGTGCCTTAAGTGTGTGGATCCTATTTTGCAAGTCATCAATTTTTGGTTGGTTTTATTCTTGGACATGGACCAGTCCAACCAGCCATTAACTAAGCGGTCCATGCCAATAATTCTGATGTAAATCTTTTTTTTTTTTTAGCATATGCTTTTTTTTGATGAAAAAGATACACACATTTTATTAATGATGTTACAGGAAATCGTTCATGAGTTGCTTGACAAAATTTGGAAGGGAATTTCAAAGAGCTTAAAAAAGATTAGCACTCTTAGCATGATGGGTTAAAGTATGCGCTACCTTAATTTGCTTCTCCTGGAATCCATTGATTCATTGAATATCAATATAAAGCTGATCTAATAAAGCTAAATGCACGTCCTCAATAATTGGACCTGAATCAGAAACGATGTCTTCTTTGTCCTGTCTTCTTTGTCATGAATAAATCTTATAATTGAGGTTGCATCTCCCTGCAATTTTGGATCATTGTGGGCAAATGGTATCAAATAATGCCCGGGAATATTACAAGTCAATCGGCAGTTACCACAATAGACTTGATTGGAACGAAAATGCCTCACCAATCCCACAATCCATTCCAGTTGAAGTTAAGATCAGCAACATCGTTAATTAGCCCCTTAAGCTTTGTTTAATCATAACTTACTACTATTGTCTTACATCTTAAGCGGATACTCTTTTGGTTTTTTCATCTTATGCAGATACCATTTGCTACATCGCAGTCAATTAAATAGTTAAACCATTTGCTTGCTAGACTGATGACGGAAATTAACAATATAAACCACTAAACAGAAAATCTAGCGTTTATACTAAATAAAAGAATTTTAATGATGCATATTATTTGCTGCAATCCTTAGACCATCCAAGTCTAAGAATTAAAAATAAAAAGTCTACATGAATAAAATAAAAGATTGGAGATTAAAGATGCTTTAGAAAAAAAAAAAAGGTTAATTCAAAGGACTAAATGAACTACTTGCGAAATTTTTTTGTCCTTCCAGATTAAATGATTTGTCGTTAATAGTATTGAAATAGTTAAAAATTAAAATTATTGGAACTAAATGCATTTTCATAAAACTTTAAAGGCGAAAATGGTGTAACCCCATAAGTTAGAGGTATAAAGTGTCATCTTTTCCATTTGTGAAATTTCAATTGGTTTGCTGATTTTCTGTCAAATATTCTTACATTAATTTATTTTTCTATATACTGATGATACATACCATCAAGGTCGGATACATGACCACTGATATGAATTTGAGTTCGAAATATAAATATTTTGCATATATAGTATGCATCAAACTCCGTTAACATATACACTATTAGGGTACAAAAGATTAATCCTAATTGAAATTGCAAACGGGAGGGTTGAAGTTGTAGGATAACGTGAATCAGCAAATCAATTTTACGACCAGCTGCTGCTAAGAAATGAACATTTCCATTAGTTGAATGCAGAATATGTCTCCAAGGATTTTCTCCACAAGAATATCTTGATTTTCCACGGCGGGTTGAGAGACTTCCATTGTCCAGTGTGTGGGACCCAAAAAAATTCCAATGGAAAGTTATAGGAGACAAATTTCATAGACCAATCTAGATGGGCAGACAAATTTCACACATACAACTATGTGATATATGGGAGAAGAGAAATAAATTAACAATATATCAATAACAAGACTCTCAAATTTCATTCTTTTCAACTAATAGTAGTAATAATAATAAGACTCGACTAGATGACTCGGTAAATAAGTCTTATAACCACAAGAAACTTTCTAATAAAATACTAATTTCTAAACAATAAAACTTCTATAATTTAAATCAAACAGAATTACTAAAACCATAACATAAAATATTGCTAAATAATAATATGAAAATTTATATCTTTTAACCTTGATTTAACATTGTCGGACACAACACTTTTCTGCATAACTTAATCAAGTTTGTTTACTACTCTTCTTTCTAAATGTCGCGTCATCTTAATCTAGATCGGCAGATTGAATGACCAGAATCAAGATATTATCAGCTTAAGTCAAGAAATTATTAGCTTGCCTATCTAACCACCACGTTAGAAAAACAATTTTATCAGAGTTAATTCTGTCTTCCAATAACCCTTTATTATTTTTTAATTCTGTCTTCCAATAACCCTTTATTATTTTTTCTCCCAAGCATAGTGTATTTTGTTACATGTTCGATTGACAAATGGGAAACGAATATGCGAATGCAAACATAAACCAGAATTAACTTGTAAAATAAAAGCTACTCACCTCAAATTATTGATTTCATGCTAGCCTTCGGAATCCCATTATCTATTCTTTCCAGTTCATATCTGTGATTATGTTTCCAATTCAACCCCTTTTGGATCGTTTATGGGTCCCAATCAAATAATGAACCGCAATAACAAGTCATTAAGCCGTCGGATTGGGCAAGATTAAAATGCAAATGCCTCGCCAACTCCATGATCCATAGCCATTAAAAGAGTTGAAGATAAGAAAAGTAGAAGAATATTGTTAATTTTGCATCTTAATTCCTATATCGTAGTCAGTTAAACACTTAATCTTTACTGGCTCGACTTTTCCATGAAGAATTCCGGTCGTCGGCATTTTATCACTTTCATATAGTTTCTTCAATCGCAGAACGGTGACATGACACATTTAAATGTGTATAAATGAAACCGCTCAGCTAACCATACTTTGTCAAATAAACCAATACCAAAAGAAATCCAATGGAGCATCATCTTCATTGTACTCCTTCATCTTCACTAATACTGTTGTTATTCAGTTCTATTCTTGTCACCAGCCAGTTCTCACTTCTCATTTGGCTGCAGCAAACAAACTTATAATTATTCAAATGTCTCATGTATTGAGAGCAAACGACAAACTCTTCTTCGATTCAGAGATGGGTTGACAGATGAATCGAATCGTCTGTCATCTTGGATAGGAGAGAACTGTTGTTCATGGGAAGGCATTGGTTGCCATCAAACCACTAACCGTCTGGTGAAACTTGATCTATACAATGCAAGCCCGTTACATTCAAATGATATATTTATTTACTGCAAAAATTGCTTGGGAGCTCAATTAAGTCCATTTTTGGTCAATTTGACCAATTTGCAATACCTGGACCTGAGCAAGAATAATTTTTCAGGAATCCAAGTTCCCACATTCCTTGGATTGTTGAAAAACTTGAGATACTTAAATCTTGTAAATGTAGTGTTTGACGATGAAATTCCAAGCCATCTAGGAAATCTCTCATGTTTACGGCATTTAGAACTTGGAGGTGTAACTCCCTCCTTAACATGGAATCGATTGACAATGAAGGATCTCAGGTGGATTGTTGGACTCTCTTCTCTGGAAGGCTTAGTCCTGTCTGGGGTGAATCTTAGTGCCGTTGAAGTTGGGTTACAGACAATTAACATGCTTCCTTCACTAACAAGACTAGAATTAGTTGGTTGTGGACTTTTCATGAATCCTCATCTTTCACAGGTCAATTTCACATCTCTTTCTTCCCTTGAACTCGGTGAAAATAATTTCAACAACTACATGGTCCCTCCTTGGCTCCATAATCTTACTGGTCTCCATGATCTTGGTCTTAGCTCTAATCATCTTTCTGGTCCAATTCATGGCCTATTTGAACAAATGACCTCTCTAGTTGATCTCAATCTAGGAGAAAACCTCTTTGATGCATCAACGTTGAAGTCACTTTGCAATGTAAGCAGTCTTAATTATTTGGATTTGAGTTTAAATGATATGCAAGGGTCGATACCAAGTGAAATAGGCCAACTTTCGAAGCTGCAAGTATTAGATGTTTCTTCCAACTCATTAACTGGTGTATTATCTGAAGACCATTTTGCAAAACTCGGAGAGCTAAAGTCGTTGAACCAATCTGAAAACTTATTCGCTCTGAATGTGAGCTCCTGGTGGGTTCCTCGTTTTCAACTCCGAGATATTATGATGTCATCCATCAAAGTTGGTCTGCTATTTCCTGCTTGGCTGCGAACGGAAAAAGAGGTTCAGTGGTTAGACATGCAGAATGCGAGCATTTCGGATAGCATACCCAGCTGGTTTGGAGTGTTTTGTTATGAAATTTATTTTGTAGATTTCTTCAACAACAACTTGACTTGGAATCTGTTGGAGTTCAAACAAATGAAGAAGAGTCCTCCTGATGGTAATTCTCCAAGCACAGTTCTAAAGTCCAACAAATTGGATGGATCTCTCAAATCGTTTCCATCTTATATTTACGAATTAGATCTTTCACAAAATTTTCTTACCGGACATATTCCATTGCCTGATGTTGGTCAAACTGTTGCATCTACTATTTTTCTCATACTCAGTGATAATCATTTCACAAGTAGTATCCCGGAAGACTTGTGCAAGTTGGAAAATTTAAAATATCTGGATCTATCCAACAATTTCCTATCTGGAAGAGTTCCTCTGTGTTTGGGGAATTTGCCAGACTTGTTGGTCCTAAACTTGGCAAATAACAGTCTATGCGGTCAAATTCCGAGTTCACTAGGCAACTTGGGGCAACTTTGGATTCTGCATTTGAATTGAAATAAATTCGTTGGGAAGCTTCCATCCTCAATGCAGCGTCTGAGAAATTTACAAATTCTTGATCTCGGTGACAATGGACTCACGGATATTATACCAACATGGATTGGGGAAAGGTTATCAAAGTTAATGATGAGGAGGTCGAGAGAGCTATCCAAGTGAAGCAAGTGAAGGTGCCATTGGGGCCTATGACACGAGCTCGCGCGAAGAGATTGAATGAGACACTACAAACATTGGTTCATGCGGCCCGAGAGTCGAGTGGAGAGCCAAAGGCCATCGAGGGCCTCAACGAAGCTAGGTTTGTTGTCCTAGTTTCGGCCATCACTGAAGAGTAGAAGCCCATGATTCGGCTAAGGGGTCCATGGCCCATTATTAGTTTAGTAGAGTATAATAAAGAGGTCCAACTAGCTTGTGATTTGGACCTTAGTCGTTGTTAGTCCTCGGGTCAATGGGCTAGGGCATGTGGGCCACTTAGTGAGTAGTTTGGCCCATTAGTCATAGTTAATTATCTTAGTATTTATAGGTCAATTTTAGTGGTATTATGGAGTTTTTGAGGATTAATAAAAAATACTTGAGAGTTCTCTCAAAACTTCATTGAAGCATCATTGAATATCTTAGAATCATTTTTAGGTATTCAATTCGAATTATCAATCTAGGACCGCGCTAGATTGTGGCGTCTTCTACCAATACCGAGGTTCGTTGACCACGTGATCAACGGGTTTAGATAATTCCGTTGCGTTCGTTTGTCATCAACGTGAGTCCCTGCCTTCTAGATCCTAGCCTTTTTGTACGGGTTGCATCACAAGGTTGGTGCCGTTCATATTAGTTAAAGTTTCTAAGATGTCAGTCAAATAACTTCCATGGAGTCATTTCTTATGAGCTCTGCCTACTCTCAAGTCTTCAAGTGCTGAACCTAGCGCATAAGAATTTAACAGGATCTATTCCTCATTGTTTTATCAACTTCTCAATGATGGTAGCAAGTGAACTGGGAACCGATCTCTGGGTATTTAGCGATTTCACCTGGCTTCAAAACTTCAAGGGAGGAGGAGAACTTGAGTACTCATCTCGGAACCTTTTGCGCGTTAAATCCATAAGCCTCTCGACAAATAATTTAGTGGGTGAGATCCCTGATGGGATAATGGATCTGGTTGATTTGCAAACTTTGAACCTTTCACATAATCATTTGACTGGAAGGATCCCCGAGAAGATTGGCAACTTGAAGCAAGTTGAGTCACTTGATCTATCAATGAATGAACTCTTCGGTGCAATCCCTGAAAGCTTATCTGCTTTAAACTGGTTGAACTTCCTGAATTTGTCACACAATAAGCTATCAGGGCCAATACCATCAGGGAATCAAATTCAGACCTTAACCGATCCATCTATCTATGAAGGAAACATTGGACTCTGTGGCAAGCCAATCCCAAATGACTGCCTGGAACATAAATTGCCTACGGAAAATGGGCATATTCATGATGATATAGGCCACGGCAAGTCTAATTGGTCTTGGTTTTATGCTGGTATAGGACCGGGTTATGCTGTGGGGCTCTTGGGAGTTTTGGGATTCCTTCAGTTCAAGAAGTCATGGTGCTATGCATATTTCAGGTTTCTGGAAAATGCCTATGACAAAATCTGCGTAACGATTGCATTGAAGGCCAATTAGCTGTGGAGGAATTTCGATTGAGTAAGTACGTATAGAAGCACATTTATTCTATTTTTCATATCACACACTATGGCACCGAAATTCACGTAGCATACTATCCTTGATAATTTGCAAAACTATAGCAATTTGTAATTTGTTTTTTCCAAACATTTCCAAGGATTTGTTTTATGAGTCCCAACTTGACCAATTCTATCCAATAAGAAAATGCGAGCTTAATAAGTTTTTTTTTCCCAAGCAAAGAAGCTTAATAAGTTAAATCAACAAAAGAATAGCGTACCAATTGTAACATAAAGTAGTAGACGCCTATTACCAATTACCTTACCAACATGGTTCTAACATAAAATCTCTAGCTCACAAAGGAATTTTTTCCAATAAACTATTAAGTGATTGGAGACCAAAAGTTTTTTTTCCCTTAACTTTGGAAGATTTTTATCCCAAAAAACTAGATAACAAAACTTTATTTGCTTTTCCTGGTTTCTCTCTTTCTATTGGCAATTGTTTCAACTTTCTCAAAAAGTTTGAATTCTAATAATTCCCTTCTGTTATTCATATTTATATTGTGTTTTCCTATGGTTCGTTGATTTCCATATTATGAGAATTTTATTGATTTTTTTTATTGACAACCGATTATAAAGATAATAGCATGTGAAATAATGCTTCTACTGTTAGCATTTGTATGCAATAAATATTCTATGCTAAGCAATTTATAGGTTGTTTATCTTGCTTACTGATCTAATTTTTGCGTCAACAAATTTAAACACTTTAGAAGAATTCTATACTTGTTTATGCTAATAATTGATTTAGTTATTTAATTTCTAATTGATATACATTCTATCTTTTCTGCCAATAACTCTTATGAACTACCAACTAATGATTTTCAGGTATTTTTAAACCATTGGTCATTGTAGCTGAATAAATTCTTATGAGAATTTTGGATGATCCCATAAGAGCGAAGAAGAATAATGTCGAGCTTTAGAAATATGCCCCCTAGTTGCAATACGGCAAGAGAATAAGGGGAAAAAAGAAGTAAAAATTTTGTATCTTACCATCACTTTGCTCTTCAAGCTTAGATATTCCTAAAATTTTATATAAATGGAGTTTGTAATATTTCAGTGCTGTTAAAGATTATAGTGTGTGTATGTATATTGTAGAGAAGAGGGGACAAAAATAGCAGAAGTTAACTAAGAAATCTCTGCTACTACCTCGTCACCATCGTATTGTGTTCTTTTGGTCGTTGCATGCACATACTCCTAAGGGGTCCAAAGCTGATTCAGAAATTGGGTTAAGGTGACAGCCGAAAGCTAATCTGGCTTATCTGAGGAGTCGTTTTGCAGCTGTTAGAACCGCCTTGCAAGCTCTCCAATCTCCGGCAACTCTCCCCAGGACAGTTTCCATTCCTATGGCTCTGGATCATCTGATGAGAACGTGACTTCAACAGTGGTCAAGTTTTTGCTTTTGCTTTTGCTTTTGATAGGTGTTACTAGAATCTGTTTCCACACCGCGGGGTGGGGGTCACACGGGTTCTCCTCCCTTTCCTTTATGAAAAAATCATTTTCGCCGTTGTTTGCGAAGCCCTCTTCGCTGGAGACGCGACAGGTTCAAGCTACTTTGGCTAAGCATCGGGGGAGCCTTCTGTTGTGTTTAATGCTGAGGATATATCCGCTATTGCCTCTTCGTTTCGGTTCTCTCTGGTCGGCAAGTTTTCAAAAGGACGGCCGACATTACCGGATCTACGTAAGTTCTTCCTCTCTCTTGATCTAAGGGATTCCGTTTCAGTGGGCATGCTTGATTTCAGACATGTTCTGCTAAAGTTTACCAGCGAAGCAGATTTCCTGCGGGTTTGGGCTAGGAATATTTGGTATGTTTATGGCTGCCCCATGAGAGTATTTAAGTGGACATCTAAATTCCATGTTGATCGGGAATCATCGTTGGTTCCAGTATGGTTCAGTTTACCCAAATTACCAGTCCATTTATTTGACAAACAATGTTTGTTCCATATTGTTTCTTGCCTAGGAAACCCTCTATTTGTTGACTCCGCAACCTCTTCTTTTTCTCGGCCGAATGTTGCTCGCATCTGTGTTGAGGTAGATTTGTTGAAACCACTACCGACGAGGGTTTGGGTGGATATGGGGGATGGTGATGGTTTCTGGCAGCTCTTGAAACCAGAAAACATACCCAAATACTGTGGCAATTGCTACCGCCAGGGCCATGGTGAAGACCAATGTCATGTGAAGCATCCTGAGTGTAGACACCAAATTTTTATTTACTTATTATTTTTACTTATTAATCTCAGGATTTTATTTTAGACATTTTATAGCATTTTAGATACCAAAATTTTAATTTAGCCTTATTATTATATTATTTTATGTTATTTTATTTTAATGACAATTATTTTTCATTTTTCGCTCATTAGTCTCTTAATTTTTATTAAAATTTAATGGAAAAAGAAATTGTTCACAAAAATATGCTTTATTTCTTTTATGAAAGTTTACTGTTTATTAAGTGAAAATTAGGAAAACCATCAATCAAAATCAACAAAATTTTTTAGCATTTCATTTGATTTGATTAATCTTGTTTTATTTTTATTTTTTGTCGTTAAAATTATTTCATTATTTGTTAAATTAAAAAAAATTAAAAAAAGAGGAACTTTTGGCTTCGGCCAGTACAGAAACGGAATGGCAGCTGCGTTATTTTTCCAGCTCTTTCTCATCAATTTTTCTCATTTTTGGCTCCGTTGGATTGTTGTAGTACAAGCCATATGGCTTTAATCTAGAAGACTCAACTGTCTTGGGCATCAAGAACTATCAAACGGTTCTAAGAACAGATGAAGAAGGGGCTTCATCCGCATCGTTCAACCAAGGGTTGGAGGGTTTAAAAGGCAAATGTAGCGAGGGTTTAGAAAAAAAGAGGGTGGGAGAGAGATATAGAATGACGGCAGAAGCAAAAGGTGGAGAGGGCGGATAGGGTGTGACGGCTGAAAATTTTGGGAGGAGAGAAAAGTGTGGCGGTTGAAGCAAAAAGAAAGCTGAGAGGGAGCTGGAAAGAATCGGGAGAAGAGCAACGGGTTGCGGCTGGAGTTAGAAAAAAGCGTAGAGAAACAAGAAATAGGAGTTTGAGAGGAAGAAAACCAAAAAAGAAACTAGAGGGAGAGTGAGAGTGAGATGAAAAACCAGAAAGCAAGAAGAAGAAAGAAAACTGAGCGAGAGAGAAAAGGGAAAAGAAACTGGGAAAGGAATCGTCTGGGCAAGAAACGAAGGAAACCAGAGAAACCAAGCAAGGAAAGGAAAAACGAGAAAGCTTTAGTGAGAGGAAGAAATACTGAGCAAGCTTCGGCCGAGAGAGAAAGTCGAGAGGGAAAGAAAAACGCTGAAAAAAAAACTAAAGCTTTTTCCAGATCAGGTTCTCCCTTTCTTTTCCTTCGCTCACTGATCTTGCCATTTCAGTTTCTTGTTCCTGTTTCAGTCCACTGCTTCTGTTTATTTTCACGTTTTCCTCCAGTCATGATGTTTAGTCTGTTTTACGTTTCATTTGTGTCTCTTTAGTGCATGAGTATAGGATGTTGTTTTGCTGGGATTTTGCTCTGTGTAACCTTTGGGGATGTTAAGCTACGGAAGTTGCAGAAAGTAGCAATGAAAATTTGCAGAAAGAAACTAACAAGGAAGAAAAGATTGCTTCGTAACATGCATGGAAATAATTCTGAAAATTACACTTTAGCCCTTTAGTTTCTAGCTAATGTTACTAAGACCCATAAACATTAGAAAAATTAATCGATTTGTCCCTTTCACATGTTACTCGTTTCTTTAAAATGATTTAATGTGACTTTTGGATTGATTTTAGTGAATTTTATGATGTTTTTGAAGGTTCAACATTTGTTAATCTATGATTGGATTTGGGTTTTAGTGGAATTTAGGGTAATTTATTAAATAAGTTTCCATTTTTCTTCTGTGACACTTTTAGCATGTGATTTTGATAGGTTCCATCTTAAACCCTTAAATTGTAGCATTGCATTTTAAATTCTTAAAACTTTCTATTTAGGACCTTGTTTGCTTTAATTTCTTGCACATGGATGGTTTATTTTATGTAAATACTTTAAGTGATTCCATTTCGTGTTTAATTTTCATTTCATGTTTAATTTTCGTTTCGTATAATTAATTGTTAATTAAAGTGATGCCTTGATCCTTTTTGTTATTTTGGAGGGTAAATAAGTAATTTCGTTCCATTAGGGCACCAACTCAAGGGAGGTACACTCTATCCCTTATTTTGACTTTATGTGCCCCTATGTAACTTTATGTGTTTAATTGCATACCTTTTGAATGTTTTTCATTTATTTATTTATGTATTCGCTTTATTTATTTTAATTTTGTATATTTATTTCAATTCAATTTTGATTATTGGAAAGGCATTAAATGCCAAAATTGTAATAGTTAGGGTTTATTTATTTTATTCCTTCCCCCGTTAGATTGTAGTAGGGCCTCCCTAGTGTAATAGTTAGGGTTTTATTTGCTTTATTTTGCTTTGTGTGATGTGCATGCTTACGTGCTATATGTTACCGCTTTCTTAGGACCTTGCATCTACACATCATGATTATGTGATATCATGTGTTTACTTGCTTTATTATGCTTTATATTATTTGATTAGTTATAATTAATATGTAACATGTTATCACACTAGTCCAACGTTTGTTGTGATCCATTTCTCGATACCACACTAGTCCAACGTTAGTTGTGGCCCTTTTCCCGATTTTCCCACTAGTCCAATGCTAATGAGGATTCATAGATATGGGTTAGTCCAACGTTAGACCCTTAGGAACCCTACGAGCGTTAGATCGTGATCGAGTGATAAAATCACTTCATCTCATGCATATTTTACTTTCTAGGGTCTTTTATCATGTTCGCATGTTCCCCTTATACATATAACCCTTTCCCCTCATTTCCTCTATATACGTATACCCCTTATCCCAAATTTTCATATATATATATATATATATATATATCTCTATG